AATTAAACATTAAATTCATGTCCTTTTTTATGTTCATTTAATTGGTTTGTATCGCGAGTACTGAATGAACAGCCCTTACGATCGCAGGCAAACACTTTCCCCGTGTGTTCTCTCTTCAGATGACTATTCAATTGTGTCCTAAACTTAAACCGTTTCCCACAGTCGGGCCAATCGCACGCGTGGTTACGCACAGCGCTGTGGACCACCTTATGCTGAGTTAGATCACCCTTACGTCTGGTGCTGAACCCACATCCGGGCCAATCGCACGCGTGGACCAGATCTGAACTGTGGACCAATTGGTGTTCAATGAGTCTACCCTTGCGTTTGGCCCTATAGTCACAACCGGGCCATTCGCAGGCGTGCGGCCGCTCATCTGTGTGTGCAATCATATGCCTTCGTATAGAAAGACCATAAGTTTCAATAAAGTCACACCCGGGCCACGGGCACCGGTTGACCAGCTCCGGGTGGGCCTCTCTTTTATGAGCTCTTACTTCACTGAATGAGTTGCACACGAGTCCACACCCGGCGACCAAACATGTCACGTGTTGGCCTCTAACACTTAGTTTCTTCTGGGTGTTGACTCTCGATGGTTTGGTTGTGTCCGCACAAACATCCATCACTTTATAGTCATGCTTTCTGTGCACGTTTTTCATGTGTCCCTGAAGTTTGCGTTTGAATGCAAACACTTTACCGCATCCATCGTACGGACAAACACAGGGCTGTCCACCGCTTTGAGGCGGATGGACGTCAAGTTTGTGATCAGACAAGCGCTTCTTTGTGGCGCACGCTTTGCCGCACTTCGGGTAATCGCAAACATAGGACAGATATGTTGGATGGACTGTTACATAGTGTTTGTCCAAATCAGGTCTGTATTTAAATATTTGGTCGCATTCCTCGTGAGTGCAGACATACGAGTCTCTAATAGATTTCAATCCAATACGTGCGGCCCTTCTTTTGTGTAGTTTTCCCTTCTGATGAACTCGTCTTCTGTGTGCGGACAGCCCTTTAGATGAAGTAAAAGATTGTCCGCATTCATCGTAACCGCAAACGTATGGCCTATCGGTTGAGTGAACGCTATTGACGTGATTTTTAAGATGTTCTTTCCTTTTGAAACGCTTCCCACAGGACTCATGAGTGCACACAAACGGCCGGTCATTATCCGCATCACTAATCTCTTCACTTTCATCGTTGGTCTCGTTGTCACTGACATAGTCTTCATCGTCAGTGTTGTTGTCATTTAAATCTTCTGAACTCTTCTTTGAGTTATTATGTGTTATATTTAGTGATCGTTTGACACGACTATTGCGTGTATTATATCCACGAGTTGTTGTGTCAGTCGTTATCTCTTTATCGTTCGGTTCTTTAGACACCAATTTGTGAGTCAATTGGTTTCCATCGATTGTCTCATTCAAGTTGTCTTCATTGCCATTACGAGTGGTGTCACAAATCGTGTCAATCAATACTTTTCTTGGTTTCAATCCATTCTTCGACTTCTTATGCGACGATATCTTCGTTCGTTTCACTAAACTCTTTCTCTTATTGTCACACTTTTTATTTATTATCTCTTTATTCATCACTCGATTGTCTTTTAAAGTTTTCGCTGATGTCTTCTTTCTTTCAGTTTCAGTGATAATGACATTAAAATTTAGTTCCAATACTTCCACTCTTTGGATGTCTTCGAGTGATAAGTGATTCAAGTCTTTCATAAATGTCTTAAAACTCAATATTTTATTCAAATA